TTGAGTTAAAATATAATTTCAATTATATTACAGTACCTTTTTGAGTCAAAAGGCGATCCATTAATTAAGATTATATAAAAGGGCGTACCTTTTTTGTTAAAAAAATATATCCATGGTGTTATATGACTCAAAAAAGTGACTCTTCACCTTCCAAACCTTCAATACCGAAGATTCCTGACGGCCACCCTCTTAGGGATCACCAACCTTAGTACAGTATCCCTATAAAATCTCCCAAGAAATAAAACTACATGAAGTCACCTCATGTATTGGAATTCCACTGACATTGTGAATAAAACCAACAAGAAGACGTCAGAAGGACAGCCTGGGTAGTTGGTGACTTCTGTACGTGGCTCCAGGAACCTGATTTTTAACTAAATAAATAATAATAATAAAATAGATTCTAATTGAATTTTTTTCTAAGAAAATTCCTATAACTACAGTAAACATACTGTTTTAAGCAGATCATAAGCTATCCAGAAATTTTGACCTGATCCAAGAGTAGCCATTTACACACAGGTTGTACTGTACAGTTACAACTTTACATATATTTTATATATATATATATATGTAATTTTGAGGGAGATAACTATCATTCAAAAAAAGGCATATCTACCATTTAAAAAGCACTAATCAATTATTATCTGATAATAGATCAAAAAGTTAAATTTTAATATTAATTTTAATTGTATTTGTGCCTTTTGTTTTCATCCATACTATATATATTGTTTGATATACTTGAATATACAAAAATTGTGATTCAAATAAATCGAATTTAAGAGGCTTAGTTAAATAATATAATCCATGTCAGGATGGCCGAGCGGTCTAAGGCGCCAGACTCAAGAGTAAATCTTATCCCGTAGCGGGAGTTGGGTGTTCTGGTCCACTGATGTGGGCGTGGGTTCGAATCCCACTTCTGACACTTTTTTTTTTACTATTTTCATAAATATATAATTATTTTTTCTTTAATGGTATACTAGACGGGTGACCCGGGCTTCGCCCGTGTGCATATCTACCCGAGTGATATATATTTAGATAAGATTTTTTTATAATTGTTTGTTATTAGCATTATCTATTTGTTTGCATCAGCATAATTTAATCTAATCTTTGATAGAGGGCGCTGTTCGTGAGCTAAGTAGAATAATTTGAATATATTGTTTTAATAATTGATTTATATATATTTTTTAAATAGCCTATCGTCTTCCCCGTATTTTTTACCTATGTATAGAAATTTTGGTTTGAATAAGTGAACTACTGCGAATTTGTATACCGGACATACAAACAAACAAACATACAAACATTGATTTTTATATATATAGATATATACAGTAGAACCTCCATGAGAGGACACTCATGTTAGAGGACACCTCTCTACATAGGACAGTTTTTATTTGCAAAAATTACCATTTTAACTATTTAGAAACTCTCCAGTAAGAGGATACCTCTCCTTAAAGGACACTTTGGCTCTGCAATTAGGTGTCCTTTACAGGGAGTTTCTACTATATTACATATATTTGTATATATATAATCGATAAGATAACTATGTAAAAAACATGACATCGTGAATAATCGTTTTTTTTCCTCATCAATTTACCATCAGTAAATGAAAAATACATTAGTGGGAAATATATAGTCTTTCACATACTTCATTTTTGGATTAATCAAATATAAATCTCCGAGGATAATTTCTATATTACACTTTTAACAGTTTTACAAGTTTTCGGGTTTTAAACGACCATTCTACAGGCAAAAATATTAGCCCCTATCTAAAAATATTTACCTTTAGAAGGGTCGTTTAAAAACTTGTAAACTCGTTAAAAATGTAATATAGAAACTTATCCTCAGAGATTTATATTTGATTAATCTAATTGATACAGAGGATTATAATTCTAATACTTCATTTTTAAAATAAACTTTAATAAGGATTCGGGCTGTTTATCTTTCTAGACCTATATATGGAATAGGGTATTATTCTATTATTATTAAAGTTAAACCTGTCTATAGCGCCCCCTCTAAACCCCCCTCATCCTCGAAGATGACGATCCCCTGCTCCGCTCCGAGATCTCCGCGACAGAGATCGCCACCGCCATCCGCCGCCTGCCCCTCGGAAGGGCCCCCGGATGGGACGACTTGCCCTGCGAGTTCTACATGGCCTACGAGGACTTCTTCGTCAACGCTCTCAAGCGCGTCTACGAGGCCTCCCAACTCGCCGGGGTTTTGCCTACATCGACACGGCGCAGCACCATCTGCCTGGTCCCCAAGTCTCACGGCGGCCCTGGACTTTGCGGCTACAGGCCTATCTCGCTCCCCACGACGGACTACCGGATCCTGGGCAATGTCCTCCTCCGGCGTCTGCGGCCCCATCTTCCGGTTCTGGTACCTCAGTGCCAGACCTACGCCGTTCCTGGTAGGTCCCCTTCTTGGAACATCTCGCGTGTGCGCGACGAGGTCGACGCGGCTGTGAGGACCAGCTCGCCGCTGGCCGTCATTTCCACCGACCTCGAGTCTGCCTTCGACACCCTAGACCGCGGCTTCTTGGTGTCCCTGATGGTCTCGCTGCGGCTGCCACAGGTCTTCATCGGGTGGTTTCTCCTCCTCTATTCCGGAGCGGATGCGACAGTCCGAGCCGGAGGCCTCCACACCAAACCCTTCCAGCTTCTGAACGGTGTGAGACAAGGCTGCGCCATCAGCGCCGCAATGTTCAGCCTCGCCACAAGCCCTCTCCTACGTCGCCTTGAGCAAGCTCTCGGCCCCGGTAATGTCCTCGCCTACGCCGACGACATCGTCCTGCTCATCCGCAGTGAGGAACAGTTCGGCGTGGTGACCTCCATCTTCGAGAACTTCCGGCGCGCCTCCGGCATAAAGGGAAATTTCACCAAGAGCAAAGGTCTATGGTGCGGCGCCTGGCGTGCCCGCAACGACGCTCCACTCGGCATCTCCTGGTCGTCGGTCGAACTGAAGGTGTTGGGCTGCAATGTGACGCCAGGAAATCAAAACTCAGCCCAAGAAAGACATATCCTGGTCCTGCTCGAAGCTGCTATAACGAGGTGGTCCCCCTACACCCGCGGCCTCTCTCTCGTCGGCCGGGCCAGAGCGGCCAACTCCTTGGTTCTCTCCTCGGTGGTCCATCACATCCACGGCTACCTGCCTACCGACCGTACTATCCACAAGATCCAGGCACGTCTTGCGCGGTTCATCTGGGGGCCGGAGCGCACCGCCTGGTTTCCTGGTAGCGTCCTGGCGAGACCTGTCTCTCTTGGAGGATTCGGCCTCATCGACATCGAAACCCAGCTGCGGCTGTCGTGCTTCAAGGGCGTGCAGGCCGCACTGCGTGGAAACCGTAATGCCTACTCTTGGCTGGTCGAGAGCGATGCGTGGCTATATCCACCTCCATCCGGGTCCTGGCTCTCGCCACGGCGTCTCCGGCTTCTTAAGATCTGGGAGGCGGTCGCTGACATCTTCACGCTAGACCACTCTGTGCTTACACCACATCAACTCCTGAACCTCCCTATCATAGGTGGCTGCCGCCTTCTCCGGCCACCCGACCTTCTCGCTCCTACCCGGTGGGTCAATGCCTGCATTAGGGACTTCGCTGGCCCTGCCCCTCCCCTCACTCGGCCTACGCGCTGCGCCCTGGCTGACGCCGCGTCGCTGACCAGCTTCTGCCGTCGTCTTATCGACGAAAATCTACGCGGGACCTACCGAGTAAACACCATCGGCCAGGCCGTAGTGCTGCGCGGGACGACTACGCCGTTCTTGCGAGTCATCACCCGAACTGCCCGTCGCATCTTAGAGCGTCCACGCCTGACTGCCCTGCCCATCATCCAGTTCGCTAGAAGGTGGGAGGAAAATATAAACCTACCCATCAACATCGGCTGGTCGTCGCTCCGGCGCTGCGCCTTCTCCGGGCACAACGCGGACGTGGCAGTAAGGCTAGCTTTGCACGCCCTGCCCCATCCAGCCCATCCAGCATCGGCACATCAGTCTTGCATCGCCTGTGGGTCCGGCGACCTGTCGCTGGTTCACAGGTACTGGTCCTGCCGCTACATCAGGCCTCTCATCAGGGAGGCATTTACCATCATCGGGCGGCCCCCTGACTTGCAGGGCTGGGTCTTCGGGCATGGCCTAGACGATGACGCCCTGGCCATCCTGGCGTCTGCCAAGACGCGCATCTATAGGCACTTCCTCGGCGCGGAACTGAGGAGTGTACAAGAAGACCCCCTCCTTGTCTGGAGGAGGACCCTCTCAAGGTGGGGAAGCCCTCCTTGCTGAAGATATTTGTATATATATTCCCCTACACTTTATATGCCCATTTACTCTTTTATATTTTCTCCTTTGTAAAATTTGATTGTAAGAATCAATAAAATTGTTTAATTTGTCTATAGCGCCCGATTTTAAATACGTAGTACGATGCGATTTACATTAAAAGTGACCTGTCTATAGCACCCCCTCTCTATAGCACCTTATTTCGGTGAGTCCCAAGAGGGGGCGCTATAGACAGGTTTAACTGCATAAGAATGAGATATATTAACAAACATAATTCAGCAATACATATTATTATTCACATTTTATGACCCCAAAATTGAGTCTGATATTTGGCTATCTCAAATAATGAGGTTTAATTCCTTCGAGATCTATCATTTTTCTCTCAAAAAGTGTTAATCAGTTATTGGTTCAATTTGTGAATAAGCTTTTTAATGGATTATATATTAACTGAATTTTTTAATCTATATATACAACCATACTTGATGAATTTATAGTATTTTTTAATTTTAATGGAAATGAGTTAAAGTGGACTTTGAACATCCCTTTTATAGATATATGACCCGGCTTACCATGTTTTGCTGAAGGAATCTTGTTTTTGCTTATTATAAATGATGTTCTTGCTTCGGCAGTATTTTTATTGAGTAAATGATCACCGAAAGATTTTTTTTTTGGTCTATCAAACATGATACAGCAATATTTATTCATCATCATGGTGGCGGTATCTTGTCCATAAAAGACGCCCGAGCAGGGGCACGAACCCTGGACCGTTAGGTTAAAAGCCTAACGCTCTACCGGCTGAGCTACCCGGGCTTTCATCATAAATTTATTGAAAAAAATAATAGTCTAGTACCTAGTTAATTTTAATTTTTCTTGAATGAAAATGTGACAAGCACCTCTTCTCTCTCCCAACTCAACTCTATATAATTTTAAAATTTCAGCCTCATTGGTTAAATATTGATGAAACTTATATAAGAAGCAAATTGAATCTTTTATATGAATATAATATATAATTATAGATGATATAATGAATATATAAATATATGCATTAATGTATTTACTCTCGAATAGCATATATAAATAGGAAATTTTAAAGGGCTATCAACTTCACCCTTTTCCATTATATCTCATAATTAAATATTTTATAAAGTTAACAAGTAAGTGTATAGATTAAGTTGTGAATTAAAATATAACTATTTTAAAGCCTATTTGAATTAAACAAAAAAACTACTATTTTGTGATATAAAAATGATGGCTAAATCAGGAGGGAATTAGAGCCTAGAATTTGAAAATGGACAAATATCAGACTGACATGCTTATTTTGGAAATAAGAAAATATAATGATAATGTTTCTATATTGTGTTTGTTAATAATGTATTTGTTGTGTGTCGATTTATTAGTCCAGCGATGGCCCAGCGGTGGTCATCTCCTATTTCATGGCCCCCGCTTGTATGTTTGCTGACGGCGTGGTCCGTTATCCCAGCAGGCTGGAAGGAAGTCTCTCGGCTCCCACATATTCTTATAAAATGATACTAAAAAATTATCCTATCCTCTCTATGACTTCCAGTTCTAAACATTATATTAGAGTTTTACCCCAATATTTTAAAAATCAATAAACTCTTCTCCTCATATTTTGATTTATCTTCTATTAATGAATAAGAGGAGATTATCATCGTGTAAATTAGATATAATAATCAGCATTCGAGAAGAAGCATCTCATGTGAGCGGTCAAGATATGCCTTTTTGTTTTTAAAAAAGCACTAGCACGAGCTATTACTATTCACTTAACGCATACACTTGCAAACATTCCTAGTTATACTTTTGATATAAGTCTTTAGAAGAGGGATTCTCTCATAAAATCTTGAAGATACAGGAATCCAAAAGTGTTTTAATGTCTATCCATACAAAGTTCAAAACAACAACTGCCCCATACCCGCGCAGGCCCGGTCACGCTCCGCCGCGGCACGTGGGAAAACATACAATGTTCCCAGCACATCCCCCTTTTTAAGATTTGAAATATATATACATTACAAACTTTAAATGCGTAATATAATTAATAATTAAGGCGATCCACGGGTTTAACAATTCGTCCACTCCGGGTTCTTACCTGGCCGTCTTCTGAGTCGTTAGAGGGATAATCCACAACTGGGGTCTTTTCATTTTCAACCAGTTCCTCCCCCGAAAAGGTCGGCGTCGATGGGTCGGCTGGATATTGCACTGAATCTCCTTTTCGTAGATGGAACCTGTTTCGACGTACAGTCCCAACTGGAGTATCAACCATATTTGACCTTGGTGTCGATGCTTTCTGCTTTACAATCCCCCAGATTCGCATATCTGTAATCCAAACCGTGTCACCTTCGGATAGCTCCTCCATGTCTGTAGCTCCGCAGCGTCGATCATATCTGGATTTCATATCCTTTCTCCTTCTCCCCTCCTTTCTTTTCAGGGTCTGAGAGTCCACCAACCTTGGATTAAGATTCTCTGGTGCAATTGGTAAGGTCATTCGGAGTTTACGTCCCATGAGAAGCTCAGCAGGGCTGTAACCGTTCTCCAAAGGGGTCGATCGATACTCCAGGAGTCCAAGCGATGGGTCTTGATTTTTCTTGAGGATCAACTTAGCAATTTTCACACCTGCTTCTGCCATCCCCTTGCTCTGCGGGAATCGAGGACTTGAAGTGACATGTGTGAATCCGTACTGCCTTGCGAAATTTGCAAATTTACGAGCAGCTCCAAATTGCGTCCCATTATCGCTTACAACAGTTTCTGGTATTCCATGTCGGGCAAATATAGATTTGCAACTACGCACCACCACATTGGCTGTGATCCGATCCAGCTGAATCATTTCAGGAAAGCGAGAATAATAGTCAATGACGACTAGATACCACTTATTCTCGAACTTGAACAAATCCATTCCAATCTTTTGCCACGGTCGTTTAGGAAAGTTGGTTGGCATCAAAGGTTCATGATTTGAGACGGCTTCCTGGATACAGACACTGCACTTTCTGACCGTTTCCGCGATCTCTTTCGAAATTCCAGGCCACCATACCGTCTCACGTGCGCGAAGTCTTGTTTTTGTAATCCCGAAGTGCCCAACGTGCAACTTATCTAGGATCTCCAGTTTCATACTTGCTGGAACAACAAGACGACAGCTACGTATCAGTAGTCCATTTTGAGCGCCGAGTTCATCCTTGTCATGCCAATAAGAGAGTAGAGCCTGTGACATCTTCTTATCTGGCCAGCCTTGCTCAAGGTAGTTGACTACTGCTTTCAGGGTCGTATCTTCTTGTTGAGCTTCAAAAATCTTCGTCAACATCTCGTCTTTTTCGGTTATACACGAGAGAACTGCATTTATATGCGCTGAGGTTGGCCGTTCGTTTTCACCTCCCTCGGTTGTAAGAAGTGGTTGTCTGGATAATGCATCGGCGTCGAGCAGCTCCTTTCCAGGGATATGCACTATTTCGAATCCAAACCTCATCATACGCATTCGGAAACGTTGCAGTCTTGGGGTCAGCGAACTCAATTCTTTCGTCGAAAATAGATGAATGAGAGGCTTATGGTCGGTCTCAATTTGGAAACGCTTTCCAAGCAGGAAATCTTGAAAACGTTCGCAAGCCCATGTAATTACGAGAGCCTATTTCTCGATCTGAGCATATCGTTTTTCGGTAGGTGTCATAGTTCTAGAAGAATAAGAAACAGGTCGCCAGATTCCATTCTTACCTTCTTGCTTCAGTACCGTTCCCAAACCGTATGAAGATGCGTCGGATGACACCATAGTTGGTTTCCTGACGTCGTATGCTGCCAAGATGGGTTGAGTCGTGAGCAATTCTTTCAACTTTCGGAATGCTCGCTCCTGGCTGCAATCCCAAACGAAGTCTTGACCTTTCACCAACAACTGGTTCAGTGGAGCCACAATTTCAGATAAATTTTCCACAAAGCGTCCCAGATGGTTCACCATGCCAAGAAGTCTTCTTACGCCATGAACATCGGTCGGAGCAGGCATCTTCGCCACTGCTTCGATTTTCGCTGGATCTGGTCGAATACTGTCTTCATCCAGTATGTGCCCAAGAAAATTAATTCTTGGCACGCCGAAGACACACTTGGCCTTGTTTAGTGTAACTTTCGCCTCTTTCAGTTTTCGGAGCACTAAATGAAGAATTCGATCGTGAGTCTTGGAGTCGGAGGCAAATATCAGGATATCGTCCAGGTAACACATTACACCGTCCATGCCTTGCAAGATTATTGACATAACTTTCTGAAAATACTCTGGGGCAAGTGAGATTCCAAATGGCATCCTGCAGAATTTATATCTCCCAAAAGGAGTGATGAAGGTCGTTAAATGCTGGCAGTCCGGGCTCAACGGAATCTGGTGAAAGCCACTGTTCGCGTCCAGTTTCGAAAAGAATCTTGCTTCCCCCAGTTGCCCCAGCACATGCTCCACCACTGGCATGGGATGCACTTCGCGCTGTACATGTTCGTTCAGCCTTGAGAGATCCACACAGAGTCGTATGTCGCCATTCAGTTTACCAGCAATCACAGTCGGTCCACACCATTCAGTCGCAACGCTAACTTGGGCTATGATTCCCGCCTTCTCGAGCTCTTCCAATCTTGTTTTGAGCTTTTCCATCAAAGGTATTGGTACCCGTCGAGGAGTATGCACAGAATATGGTTTTGCTCCAGGTTTCAATTTGATTTCGTAAGGGTTTCCTTTCTGTCCCAGTCCTTCAAATACTTCAGGGAATTTCTTGATCGGGTTAATTCTCGTCGCAACCACTTCAATCCGCCTCGCCAGGTTCAAGAGCTCACATGCCCGGCGACTCAGAAGAGGTTCACTCAAACGATAAATGACATAAATCTTCTCTTTGATTTCATAATTGCCATTTCGCAGCGTTGACATAAACATACTCACAGTCTGAAGTTCGGAATATTTAGCAGCTCTAATGTTGATATCACTTTCCACTAGTCGTTGCTGTCCCATTATCTTCTTGAAGAGACACAGAGGAACACATGTAACATCCGCCTGGGAGTCGAGCTTGAACTTCACCTGTTTCCTGTTCACTTGGATTTCTGCTGTCCATCGCCTCCTGCACTCGCCTTCATCATCATCGAGATTAGATGAATCCTCCACAGCTGAGACCTCCAGGAGAAAACCAATTTCTTAATCAAGTTCAGAAACAGCTTTGACTTCCGCAGCCTTCGCCTGCTTATCCGGGCAGCGATTTGAAAAATGGCCAGTTTTTGAACATAGGGTACATATTTGTCCTTTAGCACGGCAAGCCTGTCCTTCCCTGTGGGTGAAACCTCCGCATTTTGGACATCGTGATCTTGTTTTGGCTGACTTCTCCTTCTTCCTCGAAGGCTGCTGTTGTTGTTTCGGTGATTGTTTCTTCGAGTTGAAATTCACCTGATTGACCTTTTGGCTTGTTGAGGGACGCTACAGGTCGACTTGCTGCTGTCGAACGGCTTCCTGCTGTCGAACCATTTTCACCGCCTTTTCCAAAGTCAGTTCGCTGTCCAACTGCATTCTTTCAGATAAAGCTTTGTCCCTCACTCCAACCACTATTCGGTCACGGATCAACTGCTCATGAAGACCCTCAAATTCGCAACTATCAGCCAATTTGTACAATTTAGTGATTAATTCGTCCGCTGGCTCCCGATCCTCTTGAATTCTTGAATTAAATTTCGCACGTTCGTAGATAAAATTCTTCCTGACACAGAAGTGGCTGTCGAACGCCTTGAGGACGGAATCAATTTTCGTTTCCTCTTCCTCCTTTTCGAACTTGAAGGTCCAGAATATATCATCCGCGCGGTCACCC